TACGACAAATTTTACGCCGGAAGACATTTCACAACGAACAAAAGTCCCTATTAGTCGTCAGATCATTCTTTAAAGTTCACCTATGAATAAGTAATAATTGCAGAAAAGTTACATTTTGAATATCATAGAAAGTTTTAAAATGCTTGATAATTGACAAATGTATTTTCTCATCATTTAAATCGATGTTCAAAAACCACACCAATTATGCATCCATTTTTTTCATTTACATAATGTATATCGTGCCTCCTTAAACTTAGTTCATAAATTAGGGAAAAACTATCCTCAAATTTGGTATTTGCTACCGTTAATGCTGATTTAACGGTCGCAACCTGAGTTATATCGGCGACGCGTAAGCGGAGCCGGTAAAACGGATGTTTGCGACCGTTATATCAGCATTAACGGTCGCAAATACCAAATTTGAAGGTCTGTTATTCCCATTCGAATGTAATCTATGCATTTTGTTTGTTATTAACGTCTTCTTTTGTTGAGTTTTGTTACATGAAATACGTCACGAGGCATTGTGTTTTAGTCGCTCTATTATGACGTCACAATATAATGCTTTCTGCCTCGTTAATGCTCGTTTTACTGCTTCAAACAGTGCATTAGCCAATAAAAGCTTGTTTTACAAAATAATTGCATTAAAATGTAAGGTGATCAACGAACGAACGCGTTTGGTTCTTAAGTTATGTATGTGGTATGCGCAGTAATGAAACTATTTTATGAACAAACTAAGACAAAGAATTAACAAAGTCTGACAGGTCATTGTTGGTATGGCTTCGGGTGTCTTTAATAGTTTAATGACAAGTTTTAACGTCAGCCAAGCAATGGTCTTAAGACAGTGTGTAAAGAATTTAAAAAAGTTCATCTGATATATCAAAATGCCAAATTTTGGAAGATTTAAAGTGCGTTCATTAGAACGCATCGATTCCAAGATGACCATGATATATATCATTCAAATTTGATATACTGGTAAAACACATTTATTGTTAGTGTCTAATTTTGAGGAAATATTTGTTTTCCTCCATGGCACCTGATCCCATCTCTTATGTTTTGAAGGTTCGTGTTTGCTCTGTTCCTGTTTTGTCTTGTATAGACTTTTTGATCTTGCATACTGTACATTATATCCATATTTTCCTTTCAAAGTCAAATTCCATGTCGATGAATTGCTGAGTGTTTTTTATTTAATTTCATATAGAACAGTTGATTTTATAGGTCTCCTTATACCATAAAATAAATGAAAATTAAATCTCCCCAGAAATTTAGTGGTTTCACCATAACATAGAAATTAAGATAACGTTGTAAGATTTTGATTTTTTTAAATACTGTTGTCAACACAACAAAGACATATTTGTAACATTACAAAAAATGTGAAACTTATATCAAATTATTCCATTACGCTTAGCTTAAAAAAATGCTCTTTAAAAAAATTAATACGTTTTACGATCCCCCTGCCCTATCTTTCCTTTGTTGTCCTACGTAATTTTTTTTGTACTTTAATGTGACAAATACCCAATATATCTCACTTTGTGTAACAGTCTACCTGTCACATACCTAATGTCCCCTCTGCAGTTCCCGCCAGAAATAGTTTATACTTCTCCGTTTCGTTAGAAATGGCGAACTTTTCGTACAACTCGAACAGACTTGTACCATTCTGATGAGTGATTGAGACATAAAGGGACGAGTTGTTTCCCTTTGTTAGCTGATGTATAATGTCATTACCTGTATAAAGATTAGTAAGAGTATTGCAATGCACTTTGTTTTAAAAGAAACATTCCCCCAAATTCAGATTATATATTTCATCAATTTTATCCATTAACTGTGGAATCATCATTGTTCGTGGGGGACCAATGTTTGCGGATTTCGTGTTTCACCCTAACCAACAAATTAACATCCCCACGAAGGTTAATTTTGTAAACTTAATTTCATTGAACCATTATATTTACGAGTAACCCGCGAAATTACATTCCCACCAACAGGTCAAATTTGGTAACAAACGAACATTGACCCCTATGAATTTAAATGATTCCACAGTAGCTGACCGGTTATGAGGGGAGTTCACCATACTCAACAGGACATTTATTTTATTCTCCCCTTTCCCTAAAAAAAACTCATTTTTACATTGACTTTTCGATTGTTATTATCATGGAGATGGACAGAACGCAAACATTGCAATGCCCTAAAGTAAAATTATCTTTTTTTTTCTCACATTTATGATTAGGAACAAAATTGAGAATAACCAAAACATGTAAATACATGTATAAACCTGTTAAATTCTGGCCTTAATTTCCTTTGTTCAATTGATATGTTCCTAAGTGGATCATTTGACAAATACGACATTGGAATAATGAGCTAATTTAAATAGTATTTATATTTACCGATCCAAACATTCTGTTCTGGTGAACCAAAACCAATCTTATAAGTCTCCCAGTCCTTGTTAAAGCTCAGGGATCCATCCACTCGTTTTTGTATAACCTTCCAAAAGGAAAAAAATATTTATTCCGTTACTTTTGTGACGAATATTTCTTTGATAAGTAAAATCAAGATTCTGATTGTGAATGTTTTTGCCCTTTATCAATGTCCTGCAAAACTGAATGAGAGAATCTAATGAACATTTCTTTTGCCAGTTTTAAGACTTAATTCCTAGATACCGTCCATCCGCCTCCCATTGTGGTCATGTCACAGTACACACTGAGTGGACGGGGGTCGTTATCATTAGGATAGATCTCGTATACACCGGAATTAGTGTGACCATTCTCAAGTAGATCCTTACAATCAGCACGAACTGAAAGAGAAAAAATACCGATTTACTCTAGAAATATATAAAAGTTTGAGAAAAAAGACCCCCCCCCCCAAAAAAAAAAATTTTCCTATTCACTTTTAACATATAACTACAATGGTTGTTCGAAAAGTTCGTGGTTTACTGTCATGTCTTTTTTATTTAACATCATATGCTATCCAAAGAACTATATGAGGTATATTGCATATATTTGCCCCCACAAAAGTCAAATTTTGAAAACTTCTTGAAATGCGCTGAATTCAATAAATTGTATGAGAAATATAAATAAACAGAACATATTATAGTTTCAAAGCAGTTAATTCACAAATTTTGTTTTTATGACGTCCCAAACTAGTCCGATTTTATATCCTTTTTCAGAAAGACGACAAAATGGGCAAAATTTTAACAATTTTAGCTTTAGAATTTATAGAGCGCAAGTTTGTTCAGGAACAATATTTACATATTTCATTGATATTATCATTCTACACATCATATCAAAATATCGATCCTGAACACACATGCGCTCGGTGACTTTTACTAAAAAAATCGACGAAATATGTACATTTTTCTGTAGAATTCATGAAAAACTGCAATTTACGTCATGTTTGTGACGTCATTACGTGCATATGACGTCATTACTTATGAAAATATTCAGTACTTTGAAGTCAGCATATACTCCCCTGTTTAAGAACTTAATTAAATATATCTCCATCAAAGTTTGATTTGGGGGGCAAATATTGGTTATAACCGAATAAAGTTCTTTAGTAGAATATTTATCATCGAATCCAAATGATTTCAGTTGAAAATTTTAAATTATTGTGATTAATTTCAAATCTATCCAGAATTGAAAACTGCAAAAATTGGATCGCGGAACAGGTCAAAATTAAGTAATTCACAAACAACATACGGAATAAATATAGCAATGGTTGTATATACAGAGCGCCGACCGCATGGCGAAAGAACAGTTGGCTACCCATTTTTAATCGACTTAGCTCAACGTCTGAAACAATGTATACTTCAGTGTAAGAATTGGGATTTCCTATTGTGGCCCTACCAGACCCTCTGAGGTCATGATTTGAATATTTGAGAATCTACACAACCCAAGGAAGCTTCCACAAAAGTTTCAGCTTTTCTAGACCAGTGGTTCTTTTAAATGACCCCATTTTTTTTAAATGACCCCACTCGATTTTTGTCTTTTCTTTGTAATCTCCTCCTTGGAAAGATTTCTCCTTTATTTCAATTCCTTTGTACCAGATTTGGTTAAAATTGGCCCATTGATTCTTGAGACGTTGAAAATGTGGAAAGTTAACAGACGGACTGATGGAAATACAGACGGAAGGCGGACATTGGGTTATCAGAAAAGCTCACTTTCAGCTCAAGTGAGTTTAAAAAACGCCATTTTTAGTTGTGATGTGGTAACATTACCAGGGTCTTAATGAGAAAGTTTTGCATTGAAATATTAAGAAAAAAAAGTATCTTAAGGAAGTTCTGAATTCTAGTTTCAGGGTGCAAATTTTGCCTGATTTTAACTTTGTTCTTTCAGCCAATGTGCTCCGGGTGAGTTATGCTGCTCATAGGCCTCTTGTTCTAGAAGTAAGCATATACATTTTGTATTCGATAAAGATCTTGAATATACTGGTACTTTAAAACGACAACATAAACATGTTTTTTTTTTTCGAAACCTTGACAAACCAAGTCCGTTATCCAGGTCCCATTTTTATGGCACACGATCATTCCGGATCCTCGCTGTTCAAAGGGTTTCAAGCATTTAATGTGTATTCGCTTTCTGATTCCTATCCCGTCCCAGTCCTGTACATTCCACGTTGTGTTTGTTTCTTTACTGACAGGGATCCCACAATCTAAGAAAATTATAATGTAAACATTACCTAAAAAAATATTGATTGATTGTATGTTGTTTAGCGTCCCTCTTTTGAGAACCTTTTACTTATACGGAGACGCAGCCACTTGAGCTACAAATTTCGTCCTATACTAGGCACTTCAGACCATTGAGTTGTGATGGATATATTTCGTACCAGCACGTACTGCGACAAAAGGCCTTGATTTGTATTCGGTCTCATCTGAAGGACTGGCCTCAACGTCCTACAGGGGGATTTGAACGCGCAACGTAAGGATCGACTTATATCTGACGCCCTAATCACACGGGTTACATTACTACTATACACAAAAGGCGTTTTAATTGTGAATGAAAAGTGACGAAAACGAGCAGCAAAGGTGCTTAAGATGTAATAATTAATATTTATTATATACCCATCAATTTCCTTGTTTTTGTTACTGTTAATTTTACAGAGTTTGATCCGATTTTCCGGATCACCACACTGGATTTCTGAATCCATATCACCACTCTCTGAAACTGATGACGTAGTACGCAAAAACATGACGTTATGTTTCTTGCGCGTTAAAAAGTCCCTTGTTATTATGCTTTGTTTTATGGAGCAATTGATCTCTAAAGTTGTATTCTGTTATATTTAGCTAGTTATAAGGTGGTATCTAATAAATTTATCATTATAACAGTAACTTGATCCGAAGAGCCGTATCACGTCTCGTTGACAGACGCAGATCATCAGATCAAACTCGACGCTTAGCGTTTCGTTAGATCTGATGATCCGCGCCTGTCAACGAGACGTGATACGACCCTTCGAATCAAGTTACTGTTATAATAATATAAATTTACATCCACTGAATATTTTCTCCTTTAATTCTTTAGAAAACCCATTGAGTTAATCAGTGTATGAACTACACTTGGCATGTCACCTGTATCGATTTGTTGATCAGTGGCTGTTCCATCAATGAAACGTACTAAGACGTACATATCAATAATATATCTTTATAATCCTATTTTAAATTATTATTTAAAAAGATATAAATATAAACAATAAAATGCCTTTGGTTGTTAGTACGGGAATGAACGTCACAGCTATTGCAGAAAAAAAATTATTAAATAATTGTCATAAATTAACGCTGTACAGCTTCATAAGATCCTAAATAGATTCCCGTACCATTAGCACCTTTCGGTTGAGCTCTCATTTCATTATCGGGAGGTCGTGAGTTCGAATCTTGCCCACGACAGACCTTAACCGTTGGAAAATGGATAGCATCTGTTCCTTCGCCATGCGCTCTCCACCATCCTTCGGATGAGACCTTTAAAATCGAGGTCCCGTGTCACACCAGACGTTGCTCGACAATCTCAATGACTCCTGAGGGCAGAGTAAAGGTGAAATAAGGGGCAATAACTCATTGAAGGGGTCACCGAATGCTTTCGCAATGAATAGACTGAAGAGTCCCCATAATAAGGGAAAGCCATTGGTGAAGGTTTCATACCTTTACGGTTTACGATCTTAGAGGAGTAGCGATAACAAGGGTTTTTAGCACAAGGGGCAACAACTTTTAAAAGGGTCAATCTTAGGGGCAAAGATTTATATCTTCTAAAGAGTTTCAAAAGTACATATTAAAGACATAAGATAGATCGTATATGTTTAAGGACATAAGAGCTATTAAGAGAAATTTATTTCTCATATTTGGAATGACTTTTGACTTTAACATGAATTTGAAGGTCAAAGTTCAATGAATCTTATGCACTTGGTCCCATGTCTCTACGACTTCTCGTTTTGAAAATTTTTCATTTTTTTATAAAATTTATAAACTTTGAGGGGCAGTAACTCATTGAAGGGGTCAAAGAAATATTTAACAATGAATAGATTGAAAAGTCTCCTAAATTAGTTGACGACATTGGTGAAGGTTTTGTATCTCTACTGTTTACGGTTTCTGAGGAGTAGCGATAACAAGCTTTACAGTGAAAGGGGCAATAACTACGTAAAGGGTCAAAGTTCTAATATAGGGGGTCGTTTTTCGGAATAACTTTGAATATCCAGTATCATGAACTAAGAAGTTTTTTGATAAGTCTTACGGTGTCAAAACATAAGGTGAGAAATAAAATAAAAAACATAAGCATATCAAGAGGTCTTTCCACAGAAAGGTGGAAAGACCTAATAATAAACAAAAGAATATCAATAGGTATTTCCACAGAAAGGTGGAAAGACCTAAAAACAGAAGCATTTCAAGAGGTCTTTCCACAGAAAGGTAGAAAGACCTAATAAACAGAAGAATATCAATAGGTCTTTCCACAGAAAGGTGGAAAGACCTAATGAATGTAGACAATTTTACCCAGGAACGACCATTGCGGATGGGACCAGGTATGTAAGGGTGAAACTACCTCCCAATATGTCCTCCTTCCCATATACACTGAAGTTCGGCAAAGAGTATTACCGATGTATACACAACGGTCAAACAAAGGTGTGTTCACTGTGTTATGCTAGCGAACATTTATTTAGAGCATGTCCACAATTCACCTGTTTTAAATGTAAACAACAAGGTCACTACGCTCGAGTGTGTAAATCCAGTTTGTGTGATCGGTGTGGTGAATGGACTTACAAATGCCATTGTCGCTTGAGTGATCACAGTTACGGCAATAGTGGTGGAAATTCTGAGGTCGAGGACGAAGAAAACCTATCGAACATGGAAGCAGATGAGGTACACGAAAGGGAAGTGGACGCCGACGATATAGAAAAGGATACCGAGATGTCGGAAAAGAACGAAATAAGACTGATTCATGACAAAGAAACAGAACCTTCACAGGAAGTAAGTAAAACCATCGATCCAGAAAACTCATCGGCGAAAGTAGAGGAAAATACAGAGGGTGTTGAGTAAGAGGAATTGTGTACCGCGCAGGGCCTCAACAAGTGCGCACAAGAAAAGGAAACGATTAACAATAGCGATCAAAAGTTGGGCAGTGAACTATCAGAGGAACAACTTTCAGAGACAGACACAGACACCGGAAATGAAGTGGTAATCACGGGAAAAAAGAAAAGAAAGAAGAAAGTAAAAAAGAAGGTTAAGGCAAAGAAAAATAAATAGAAATGATGACAATAAACTCCCTTCTCTCTTTCTTTACAATGGTCATTATAACATCGTGGAACTGTAATGGATTGTGTGATGTTAATAAGATGAAAGTGGTATTTGCTTTATTTGAAAAAAGAAAATATGACATTATTGGTTTACAAGAAACGCATTGGAAAGATGATTTTATTGAAAAATATAAACATTTGTGGAATGGTAATTTACTATATAGCAATTTTGAAACAGCATTAAAAGGTGTAGCATTCTTAATTAGAAATGAAGTAAAAGATAAAGTTCAATTTATGAAAGGTTTTGATGGTAGATATTTACACATAGTTTATAATAAAAACATAGATGTTATAAATATTTATGCACCAAATTGTACGAAAGAAAGAGCGGCGTTTTTTCAAGCTATTTCACAAGATATTCCTCAGTCTAATAATTTATTGATATTGGGAGATTTCAATAATTCCCTTTCAGAGTTAGATAGGTCAGGAAAGACAACTCATGTTTATGATCAGTCCTACAAAGGTCTTAATAATCTTATGAGGGGACACAATGTAGTTGATTTATGGAGAAAAAGAAATAGCAGGGTAAAAGCATTTTCTAGAAAGTTAGTTGTAGAAAGTAATTTATCGGTAGTTCAGAGTAGAATAGACTATATTTTAGTCTCACAAAGTATTTCTGGTTTTGTTTAAAATATATATTATGTTGAGACTACATTAAGTGATCACTCAATGGTTGTGCTATATTTTAACAATGTAACGAGTGAACGTGGACCTGGTTTATGGATACACAATAATTAATTGTTGAATGATGATACATACCGATCAAGAGTAAGGCCAGCATTTTTTTATTTTTAGGTTTACGAACATCAGAATGAAAAAGTCCCGTAGGAGGAGGAAATAAAAAAAAAATAAAATAATTTTTTTTGGATAAGTTATCGACTTTTGTACATAAATTTTTCTTCTTTTTTCATGCTCTCCTAACATGCTCCATGCCACTGGACGCATAAGGATTACAAAGGGGAAAATAGAACCTTTGTTTATTGCATCATCTACCA